GCTGACTTTGGGCTGCTCAGGACACTAGTTGGTGGAGTCCCATGGGAGGCGGTTCTGAAGGGCAGAGGAGTCCAGGAAGGCTGGGCGCTCTTTAAGAGGCAAATCCTAATGGCGCAGGAGCGGTCTATTCCCATGCGCCTAAAGATGAGCCAGCGGGGAAGAAGACCAGCCTGGCTCAACAGAGAATTGTGGCTTGAGCTTAGAAGAAAAAAGAGGGTTTATAATCTTTGGAAAATTGGGCAGGCCACTAAGGAGGACTATAAGGATGTAGCGAGGCTGTGCAGGGACAAGATTAGGAAGGCCAAAGCTCATCTGGAGCTCAATCTGGCTACTGCCGTTAAAGATAACAAAAAACGCTTTTATAAATACATCAACACCAAAAGGAGGACTAGGGAGAATCTCCATCCTTTACTGGATGCAGGGGGAAACTTAGTTACAAGAGATGAGGAAAAGGCGGAGGTGCTTAATGCCTTCTTTGCCTCAGTCTTTAGCGGCAAAACCGGTTGCTCTCTGGATACCCAGTACCCAGAACTGGTGGAAGGGGACGGGGAGCAGGATGTGGCCCTCACCATCCACGAAGAACTGGTTGGTGACCTGCTACGGCACTTGGATGTCCACAAATCGATGGGGCCGGATGGGATCCACCCAAGGGTACTGAGAGAACTGGCAGAGGAGCTGGCCAAGCCCCTATCCATCATTTATCAGCAGTCCTGGCTATCGGGGGAGGTCCCAGCTGACTGGCGACTAGCAAATGTGACGCCCATCTACAAGAAGGGCCGGAGGGCAGACCCGGGGAACTACAGGCCGGTCAGTTTGACCTCAGTACCAGGGAAGCTCATGGAGCAGATCCTCTTGGGAGTCATCATGCGGCACTTGAAGGGCAAGCAGGCGATCAGGCCCAGCCAGCATGGGTTTATGGAAGGCAGGTCCTGCTTGACGAACCTGATCTCCTTCTACGACAAAGTGACGCGCTGGGTGGATGAGGGAAAGGCTGTGGATGTGGTCTACCTTGACTTCAGCAAGGCTTTTGACACCGTCTCCCACAGCATTCTCCTCAAGAAACTGGCTGCTCTTGGCTTGGACTGGCGCACGCTTCGTTGGGTTAGAAACTGGCTGGATAGCCGGGCCCAAAGAGTTGTGGTAAATGGAGTCAAGTCCAGTTGGAGGCCAGTCACTAGTGGCGTCCCCCAGGGCTCGGTGCTGGGGCCGGTCCTCTTTAACATCTTCATCAATGATCTGGATGACGGCATTGAGTGCACCCTCAGTAAGTTTGCAGATGACACCAAGCTAGGTGCGTGTGTCGATCTGCTTGAGGGTAGGAAGGCTCTGCAGGAGGATCTGGATAGGCTGCACCGATGGGCTGAGGTCAACTGTATGAAGTTCAACAAGGCCAAGTGCCGGGTCCTGCACCTGGGGCGCAATAACCCCAAGCAGAACTACAGGCTGGGAGAGGAATGGTTGGAGAGCTGCCAGGCAGAGAAGGACCTGGGAGTGATGGTGGACAGTCGGCTGAATATGAGCCAGCAGTGTGCTCAGGTGGCCAAGAAGGCCAGCGGCATCCTGGCTTGTATCAGAAACACTGTGACCAGAAGGGCTAGGGAGGTGATCGTCCCCCTGTACTCGGCTCTGGTGAGGCCGCACCTCGAGTACTGTGTTCAGTTTTGGGCCCCTCGCTACAAGAAGGACATCGAGGTGCTTGAGCGGGTCCAAAGAAGGGCGACGAAGCTGGTGAGGGGCCTGGAGAGCAAGTCCTATGAGGAGCGGCTAAAGGAGCTGGGCTTGTTCAGCCTAGAGAAGAGGAGGCTCAGGGGTGACCTTATTGCTCTGTATAAGTACATTAAAGGAGGCTGTAGCGAGGTGGGGGTTGGCCTGTTCTCCCATGTGCCTGGTGACAGGACGAGGGGGAATGGGCTAAAATTACGCCAGGGGACTTTTAGGTTAGATGTTAGGAAGAATTTCTTTACTGAAAGGGTTGTTAGGCACTGGAACGGGCTGCCCAGGGAGGTGGTGGAGTCACCATCCCTGGAAGTCTTCAAAAGACGTTTAGATGTAGAGCTTAGGGATATGGTTTAGTGGGGACTGTTAGTGTTAGGTTAGAGGTTGGACTCGATGATCTTGAGGTCTCTTCCAACCTAGAAATTCTGTGATTCTGTGATTCTGTGAACGATACAATGGCCTGTTAAAGACTACCTTGAAAGCAATGGGCGCTGGGACGTTCAAAAACTGGGATACGCATTTGGCAAAGGCCACCTGGTTAGTCAATACTAGGGGATCTGCCAACCGAGCTGGACCTGCCCAATCAAACCTGTTACGTACTGTAGATGGGGATAAAGTTCCTGTAGTGCATGTAAAAAATATGCTGGGTCAAACAGTCTGGGCTTCTCCTGCCTCAGGAAAAGGCAAACCTATTCGTGGAATTGTTTTCGCTCAGGGACCTGGATACACTTGGTGGGTGATGCAAAAGAACGGAGAGGTCCGGTGTGTACCTCAAGGAGATTTAATACTGGGTGAGAATAGCCCATGAACTGAATTGTACCATGTTAATTAGTATATTATACTGTATGTTATCACTACCATGATTACTATAGGTGACTAATTAGAATGTATGGAAAAGAGTGTAACCTGAGCATGACATAAATGGTATGGAATAAGGGGTGGATAGATGTCCTGGTTTCAGTTAGAATTAATTTTCTTCCTAGTAGCTGGTGGAATGCTGTGTTTTGGCTTAGGATGAGAAGAGTGCTGATAACACCCCGATGCTTTAATTGTTGCAGAGCAGTGCTTATACTAAGCCAAGGACATCTCAGCCTTTTGCTCTGTCCTGCCAACGGGCAGGCTGGGGGTGCAGTAAGAGCTGGGAGGGGACAGACCCAGGACAGGTGACCCAAACTAGCCAAAGGGGTATTCCATACCATCTGACGTCATGCTAAACAATATATAGGGGTGGCTAGCCGGGGGGAGGGGGGCCGGACTGCTCGGGGTTAGGCTGGGCATCAGTCAGCGAGTGATGAGCAATTGCATTGTGCATCACTTGTTTGTACATATTATTATTACTTTCGTATTATCACCATTGTATCATTATTATTATTATTGTTATTATTATTTTTGTTATTATTATTTTCCTGTCTTATTAAACTGTCTTTATCTCCACTCACGGGCTTCACTTTCCATTTCTCTCCCCGTCCCAGAGAGGGAGGGGGGAGGGTGAGCGAACGGCTGCGTGGTGTTTAGCTGCCGGCCGGGTTAAACCACGACAGTTGTCCAGAGAAGTAGCAGATGCCTCATCCCTGTAGGTGTTCAAGATCAGGTTAGATGAGGCCCTGGGCAACCTGAACTAGTGGGTGGTGTCCCTGCCTATGGCAGGGGGGTTTGGAACTAGATGTTCTTTAAGGTCCCTTCTAACCAAAGCTGTTCTATGATTCTATGATTCACCTTATCATCACAAATGCTCTAGCAGCAAGCATCTGTTACAAAGACTGGAAGCTACAAATAACTGAGGGGAAGGAATTTGCAAGTAGCCTTGCGCTGTTTCACACGTCCCTGAACTAGATATAATGAGGAAGTAAGTGGTAGAAACAAAAACTTGATCAAGGTCAAGATAAATAACTTGGGTGCAGTGTTAAATATGAGCTTTGTGCAGTGTCCAATTGCTGGCTGGCTTGAGACACGTGTCTGAGGGTCTCTAACCAATTGTATGACCGATTCAGGCATGTGGGCAGCATATGGGGCAAGTATATGTAGTGGAGAAAAATAGCAATAAACGTCTCCTGTTCAAGAACCATCAGGAGTCCATGTCTTTCATCCCTTCAAGTAACCACAAGAATTAGTCTGTAGGGGGACAACTTGCTTCACCATGGTCCTCTCCACAGGCTGCAGGGGAACTTCTGCTCCAGCGCCTGGAGCACCTCCTCCCCCTCCTTCTTCACTGACCTTGGTGTCTGCAAGGCTGTTCCTCACTCCTCACTCTCCCAGCTGCTGATGTGCAGCAATTTTTTCCCTTTCTTAGATCTGCTCTCACAGAGGCACAAACAACTTCACTTATTGTCTTGGCTCTGGCCAGCAGCAAGGCCCTTATCTAACATGGGGCAGCTTCTGGATTCTTCTCACAGAGACCACCCCTGCAGCCCCCCGCTACCAAAACCTTACCACATAAACCCAATACAACTAACTATTCACATTAAGTTGATTGGTGACATATTCAAAGGCATAGTCAGGATGTTTCCCTTAAGAATGTCAACATAATGATCTTCCTGGTTAGCAGTATCTCAGTTAATCATCCTTTAGACATCTCCAAGGCCTGGGTCATCTTGACCTTTCCTCAAAGTACATATGTTTTATCTTTTTTACACATAACAGAGTTAACTATCTACTGGTATCAATTGGAAGAGATAAAGCATAGATCAAGAAAACTGAGCCAAAATACTAATCAATCTTAGAAGGCAAGGAGATGAGCCAGTAATCAGATGCAGTAAAAGCAGCCAAATAATGGAACAAATCACAGAATCACAGAATTTCTAGGTTGGAAGAGACCTCAAGATCATCGAGTCCAACCTCTAAATGATGATTTTAGTCCAACCTCTAAATGATGATTTTAGTCCAACTCCTAAATGATGATTTTAGGCTCATCTAAATAGATGAGCCTAAAAACAGAACAATAACCTAGGAGAATGGAATCAAAGACTAACAAGTTTAATATCAACAGTCAGTGAGAAAGGATGGATAAAGCCATTACAAAGCCACTAATGCAAGCCTTTTCTTTTTCATGCTAGAGAACTCAAGAAAGGTTTACAGTTTTTAGCTCCCAGTTCTCTACAATTTTAGCAATAAAGGATAAACAAATTAATTCCTTTAGAACATATTTATCACAGTGCTTCAATCTCACAACTTTTATCTGTCATATATACTTTGAGTATTTAATGACTGTACAGTGAAGCTTACAACTCTCTACAACCACCACCAAATCTAATGAGTGTGAAAGGAAATCAGAAAAAAAAATATACCTTGTGTTGTTCTATTGCATCTACCCACTGTTGTCTGTGGCCTGGGTCCTGAGCTCGGAGGTACCAAACACTACCATTTACGCTGATATAAAATCTTCATTCATCAAAGTCATGTGGCTGTGAAAGAAAAGAGTGGAAGAAGAGCTAGAATTAGCAAAATTATCAACTTTTTTTTTTTTCCAGAATATTTTGACACTCTAAAATACTGTCATTATAGAAAAAACTCTTCTATATTGCCTTGAATTCAACCTAGATTGTAAATTTCATGTTCTGTAGTGGTCTCAAATAATGAAGTAACATACAGTTTCATAATGAAAAATGCCAGACTTTTCAAATACAAAACCAAACTGTTTAATACATTCTTATTAAACAAAATTATCATGAAAAAGTTCCACGCAAACATTGACAAAAACTTCACACTTCCAAGTTAATCCTTTAGCAACTAGTGCACACAGCTAGGAAAGTACACCAATACAATAATAATAATTATTATTTTTAATTTCAAAGCAAGAAAGTGATTAAGGTTAACTGCTATTAGTATTGATTTTACATGGAAGGAATGCATACATCATAGCAAAAAGTACCAAGATAGAACCATAAAATCAAACCATAGCAAAGCAACAAGGAAGACACAGAACTAAAGGAAGCTGTGGCACCCTCTGCCTCCAACTACTTTTACCATCTACAAGAATGTCAGATAATTGGGAGGTACATTCAATCCTTCCCCATATAACCACTTGAATGCATCTAACTTTCAGTTCGCATACTTCAGATATAATACTAAAAACCTTTTACTGGCATTATGATGAAGATGGTAAGGAAAGTATAAGGGAAAAACAAAACAAAACAAAAAATCTAATCTCCTCTGTGCCATGACACCATCAGTTCAAAGTTAGTCCCTTAGAACCTCCAACACAAAGCACAACTGTTTACCTTTGTATTGAAAACAATTCTTAAAGAAACATAACAAAAGTATACCTGAATATATTTTTTAATTTTCTGCTACATACAATAAATATTAAATGTAGAAGTTACTGCAGGACATTAACAAGCTTTAAGGTTAAGAAAAATTATGCAATCTGAAGGGCCACAAAAACTAATTTATAATATTTTAATAATATCTTTGGAAATATAAGAACTGGTTTGTGTACCGGTACTGGTATGTGTAACTTTCCCTGCAGGAGCCCATACAGTGCTGTGCTCTGCACTTGTAGTTGGAACAGCATTGGTAATATACCCATGTTTTGTTTATTGCTGAGAAATAAATAAAACGCAATAGACTGGCACAGCAACAGGACTCCCTTCAAACCGTGCCAAGAGCCAGCAGGCTGGGGGTGGGCAAGAGGTAGGGAGGGGACATCACCAGGGCAGCTGACCTAAACAAACCAAAGGGATATTCCATACCATATGACATCACGCTCAGCAACAGAAGGTGGTTGTCCTGGTTTCAACTAGGATAAAGTTAATTTTCCTCCTAGTAGCAGGTATGATTCTGTGTTTTGGATTTAGGATAAGAATACTGTTGATATCACACTGATGTTTTAATTGTTGCAGGGCAGTGCTGACACTAAGCCAAGGACTTTCCAGCTTCTCACACTGTCCTGCAAGCAGGCAGGCTGGGGGTGCAGCAGGAGCTGGGAGGGGACAGACCCAGGACAGCTGACCCAAACTGGCCAAAGGGGTATTCCATACCATATGACATCATGCTGAACAATTAATATGGGGGGGCTGGCTAGGGCAGGGGGGTTGGCTGTTTGGGGATAGGCTGGGCATTGGTCAGCGGGTGGTGAGCAATTTCATCGTGCATCACTTGTTTAGTACACATTATTATTAGTAGTATTATTATAATTATTTAATTATTTTCCTTTCTTTTCTGTCCTAATAAACTGTCTCTATCTCAACCCACAAGCTTTCATTTTATTTTATTTTTCAATTCTTTCATCCATCCCACGGGGGGGGGGGGGGGTGTAGTGGGTTTATGTGGCAAGGCTTTGGTAGCAGGGGGCTGCAGGTGGCTTCTGTGAAAAGAATCCAGAAGCTACCCCATATTAGATAAGGGGCCAGCCACTGGCAAGAGCCCAACCAATAAGTGATGTTGTTTGTGCCTCTGTGAGAGCAGATTTAAGAGAAAAAAATAAAAATAAAACTGCAAAACAGCAGCTGGGAGAACGAGGAGTGAGAAGCAGCCTTGCAGACACCAAGGTCAGTAAAGAAGGAAGGGGAGGAGGTGCTCCAGGCACCGAAGCAGAAGTTCCCCTGAAGTCTGTGGAGAGGACCATGGTGAAGCAGGTTGTCCCCCTGCAGCCCATGGTGTACCAGAGTGGAGCAGGTTTCCACGCTGCAGCCCGTGGAGGAGACCACGGTGGAGAAGGTAGATCTGCCCTGAAGGAGGCTGTGTCTTGCGAAGAACACCCACAGGAACAGATTCTGGGCTGGACCTGTAGCCCATTGAGAGGGGACCATGCAGCAGGAGCAGGTGACCTGGCAGGAGCTGCTGCCAGTGGGGGACCCTGATTGGAGCAGCTTTCTCCTTATGGATGGACCCTGTGGTATGGACCCATATCTGGAGCAGTTCTTGAAGAGCTGCTGCCTCTGGCAAGCCCACGCAGGATCAGTTTGTGAAGGACTGCATCCCATGGGAGGGACCCCACATTGGAGTAGGGGAAGAGGGTGACCTTGAAGGAGTGGCAGAGATGAAGTTTTATGGACTGACCACAGCCCCCGTTCCCCTACACTGCTCAGGGCAGGATGTAGAGGATGGGTGGATGGGGAGGAGGAAGTTTTGAGTTTGATTTTAGTTCCTCACTGTTCTAGTCTGTCAGTTATCTTCTCTGCCAGTTATCTATCTCTGTCAGTTATCTGCCAGGATCTTGCCTCTGTTTCTCACTTCTCTAGATTGTTAGTAACAAGCAATAAATCTTACTGTCTCCCTACTCTGAGTCTGTTCTGCCCGTGACGATAATTGCTGAGTGATTTCCCTGCCCTTATCTCAACCCTTGAACCCTTTTCATTGTATTTTTCTCCCCCTTTTACTTTGAGGGAGGGAGGGAGACAGCAGCTGTGGTGGAGCTTAGCTGCCCTCCTGAGTAAAACCACCACAGTGAGAGGGTGAGTGAATGGCTGAGTGGTGCTTAGCTGCCGCCCAGGTAAAACCACTACAGTGGGAAACTGGGAAACGGGATGGAGAAGGAGGGACTCTTGTTATGAAGATGTCTGTCCTCCCAAACAACTACTATGCATATTGAGGCCCTGCTTCAGGGATATGGCTTAACATCAGTCATTGATGGGAAGTAGAGAATAGTTTTTCTCTTTCTGTGCTTCCGCGTGGCCTTTGCTTGTGTTGTTGGGGTTTTTTTTGTTTTTTTTTTTTGGTTGTGTTGTTTTGTTTTTCTCTTTCTTTTCCCTTTAATTAAATTATCTTTATCTCAACCCATAATCTCAACCCATAAGCCTTTTTTTTTTTTTTTTTTTTTCTTTCAGGCATACTTTCCTCTCCCCCCTCTTCTGAGGAGGAGAGGAAGTGAGAGAGTGGTTGTGGTGGAGTTCAGCTGCCCAGCGAGGTAAAACCACCACAGTGTGTGATATGTTCATCTTGCAGACAGCTAAAGCACTGTGAATCACACATTCAACACTCTGCAAAAGAAAACCTAAAAACAAGTCTAATCCTTTGGGTCAGGCAAGATTCCACAATGCTGAGCACTCAAGGTGCGGCCTCACCACAGCAGAGTACAGGGGAACGATCACCGCCCTGGTCCTGCTGGCTACAGTATTCCTGATACAAGCCAGGATGCCATTGGCCTTCTTGGCCACCTGGGCACGCTGCTGGCTCATGTTCAAGCGAGCATCAATCGGCACCCCCCAGATCCTTTTCCTCTGCACAGCTTTCGAGCCACTTTGCCCCAAGCCTGTAGCATTGCATGGGGTTGTTGTGACCAAAGTGCAGGACCCAGCACTTAGCCATGTTGAACCTCATCCCATTGGCCTCTGCCCATTGATCCAACCTGTCCAGGTCCCTCTGCAGGACCTTCCTACCCTCTGGCAGATTGACCTTTCCCCCAAACCTGGTATTGTCTGCAAACTTACTGAGGGTGCACTCAATAATGAAATCATGATGATTACTGTGGGTAGTATTAAAATGTCTAAACTGCAAAAGGACATAGATGGTACTCTGTTGTTCCAATTTACACCCAACAATCTCCCCCCTCTGAAGGAAGACAGATGATGGATGATAGATGATGGAAAGTGTCCCAGCAATCACATCCGCCATCTCCCTCAGCACCTTCGGGTGGATCCCCTCTGGCCCCAAGGACTTGTGACAGTCCAGGTGGAGCAGCAGGTCTCTAACTGCTTCCACCTGAACTGGAGGGGGGGTGGTTCTTCTGCTTTTCCTTATCCTCAATAGTCATGTTCCCCCCTGAGTCCAGCAAAGGATGGAGCTTCTCCTTGGCCCTCCTCTTGCTGTTAATATATTTATAAAAACATTTTTTGTAATCCTTAACCATAGTGGCCAGGTTGAGCTCGTACTGGGCTTTAGCCTTCCTGATTTTTTTCTCTGCATGTGCTGGCAACTTCCTTGTACTCTCCCCGGGTTGCCTGTCCCTTCTTCCACCGGACACTCTCTTTTTCTCCCAGACACTCAGCAAAAGTTCCCTTTTCAGTCACATGGGTCTTCTTCCCTGCCGGCTCATCTTACAGTACATGGGGACAACCTGCTCCTGTGCCTTTAAAACTTCCTTCTTGAGGAGCATCCAGCCTTCCTGGACCCTGCTGCCCATCAGCCCTGGCTCCCAAGGGACCCTCCCTACCAGTGTCCTGAACAATTAAGAGGTCCATGACCTTCTTGTGTTGGGGATCCCAGAGTTGATACAGTACTCCAGGTAGGGTTTCATGAGAGCAGAGGGGGAAAATCACCTCCCTCGATCTGATGGTCATGCTTCTTTTGATGCAGCCCGATATGGTTGGCTTTCTGGGCTGCAAGCACACATTGCTGGCTCATGTTGAGCTTCTCATCAACTAACATCCCCAAGTCCTTCTCCTCAGAGCTGGTCTCAATCCATTCTCCACCCAGCTTCTATTTGTGCTTGGGATTGCCCTGGCCCAGGTGCAGGACCTTGCAC